GGGATCATTATATGCCCCATTTACTGTCGTAAACTGGTATATGACATTGTGACCCTATTCCAGACCCTATTTATAGCAACACCATACCTAACAGCTAAGGGATAATTATACTCTCTTATCCTTTCGAAGAGCCTTTTAACAAAAGATTTCAGGGAATTTTAACAAACAAACAAGCCCACTGCTTCCTCCTCCCATTGGACAGGTGGAGAAGCTGAGGCATAGTGAAGCTTAAAGAACATAGTCAGAAGATGAGTCAGAAATGGAGCAGGGCTGTACCTGGTTATACCTGCTTTCTCACCTGTGGCTTAACCCTTGCCATCACAGACCTCCCAGAAAGGCGTAGCCTCTTTATGGCTTATCTGTTGGGTAAACGTTGCAATGAGCTTTCAGTGCTTCCCCAGGTTGGATGAATTTGTGTCTCTGAGAAGAGAAGAAGCTTTGTATGGTTCAAAGGGCCCCTTGGTTGACACTGGTTTCCCCGGGCAGGTTTATTTGCAGTCCTCAGAATCCAGCCTCTTTGTAATGAGATCGTTGTTAGATTACTGCTTAGAAAGTCCCTACCCAACTCCTACCCCCGTTTGGGGCAGCAAAACTATTTGAGATGCTGGAGTCAACTGTTTCACCTGCTGTCATGTATCCCAGTCTCATGAAGATAAGCTTTGGTAAACTTGCTGTCCCTCCACTTTCCACGTTGCCATCATCTCCATGTCTGGATTCTTTTTCACAGTAGAGCTCTTTGTTATGCCCTGGTCTGAAGGGAGAATTTGGAGCAATGACACTTCTCTCTCTACCAAGAATGAGACTTAATACTAGTCAAGATCTCACTGAATTTGGAGTTTTACAGAGATAAAGGCAAATGAGAAATGCTCCCAAGGATAAGAAAACAGAGGGACCTCTGATTCCATCACAACGACCATTCCACCAGACTCCCAGAAAACAGCTTCCATTGACACCTGGCTCTCATTCCTTCCCATCTTCACAGTAAGGAACTGTATGGATGTTCTTAAAATGTAGGTGTGAGTGAAAGCAGATTCGGTTCCCATTTTTCCTTTGGTAGATAATAAGCTATGAATGCTTTCTTTAAGATTATTTGTAAATGTGCCCAGAGGGTAGTGAAAAATGAGAACATTTGATACAGAAAATAATACCAGCTTTGTGTGTTTCCCCGGAAGTTACCTAAGTTTGGATCCTAAGCTGGAATCATTTTCTCCAAAACCTTAAAAGACAGAGAAACTCAGTATAACCTAGAAAAGTAATGTTTATACACAAAGGAACTCCTCAATTATCCGTAGATAAGTAAACCTTCAGAGAAAATCACATTCAGAAAAAAAATCTGAGCAGTTAAAACAGTCGTGACAAAGCCCAAGCATTTAAGATCCAACTAAGAGAGAGGCCATGATCATTCTTCAGGCTTATTGACTCTTAGTTTACACACACATCTACAAGACACAGTTATCTGACTTTTTAGACCTCAGCTAATAGAAAAAGGAACATTCGAAAAAGGAAGACTGAAGCAAGCAGGCATGAGATAACAGAAGTGACAGCCAGGAGCGATAGCTAGAAAAGAGACAAAAACAATTGTGTTAAAGCATAATTTAAGAATTGTTAGCCATAGCCATTACCATGATTCATTTAGAAACAGTTAGATCATGTTCATTATCCTTTGTATATCCTTTTAGGTCTTTTGTCCAAAGGTGGTTCCAAGGGTGAGCTGCAAGCATATGAAACAGTCTCTAAGGTGGAACGTGACCTTTTTCAACAAGGAAGGAGTCACAGGTTACTCCGACTCATTTCTGTCATGCTAATGGGGTAGGAAAGGCACTGGCTTCCTGCCTGACTCACTCTCTGTTTGTAAGTTGTCCCTGGCTTCACAGGCTGCTTCTCCTCCAGTAAAAAGGAGGAAGAAGCTCACGAATACCTGGTAGGGAGTCTTGGAGACCTTTGATGGAAGATTCTAAAACAAGGTCCAGCTTCATAACAGCGCAATTAGGCTTTAGGTTAATTGCTGCAGAGAAGCTGTAAAAGCACCTTTCTGTAACTCAGACAAAATAGCGCGAGGGTGTTTGTGTTTGGCAGTAATGATACAACACCTAGAGACACAGGGGAGGCCCACACAAACCCTGGAGATGGGCATAAGAGAAGGTTTGCTCCTCCAGCCCTCCCTCCGCACTAATCCCAGCAAGGGGGGACCACTGGGAGGAGGCAGCTTCCAGCTGACCCCTTGCAAGCTTTTTTGTTTATTGACATCCCCTCCAGGGAACTGAAACAGCCCAAGCAGCCTTCCTGACACCTGTGTGGGGCAAGCGTCTTAGATGCCAGCAAGGCAAGCTGCTGAAGTGCAGGGGTGGGGCCAATTCTCTCCATGCCCCACCCCTGCCACTCATGCCCTGCACACCCTTCCACCTCCTTCTAGGCCATGGGTTGGATACTGGAGATGCCAACGTGAGGGTGAGAGGTGACAATACTAAACGCCAGTGGAGGTTTTTCTCACATTTCCTTGTTCTAGTCTGCACTGCCCAATAGGAAGCTACCTGCCACATGTAGCTATTACACACTTGAAGTGTGCCTAGTGCAACTGATGTGCTGTGAGCATAAAACATACACCGAAATTTGAAGACTTAGTGCAAAAAAAAAAAAAGTGATCTCAATAACTCTTTCATACTGATTGCAGGTTGAAATAATATTCTGAATATATTGTGTTAAATAAAATATAATATTAAAATTAATGTCATTTGTTACTTTTTACATTTTTTAATGAGGCTACTAGAAAATTGAAAAATATATATGTATGTGGTTTGCATGTGTGGTTCACATGAACTCTTTATTGGCCAGTGCGGTGGCAAGTGGCTCTAACCCACTCACGCAGCTCAGCTAACTGCCTTAGGGAGAAGGAGGAGGCCTCAGAGAAAACAGAGTCTTTTATGGCCTTTCAGATTCGATGGTTTTGGCTTATGGCGAAAAAGAAGCACTCTGACAAAGGTAGATGCGGGAGAATCATCCATGATGATATGGGGCAAGGCTCTCTAGCTACCCTCCCACCCTCCCAGATCAGATAAAGACTCCTGAGGTTGGAGGGAAGGAAGTGAGAAGGTTGGTGAGGAAGAGAGAACTTAGGTTCTAGTGTGTCTCTGAGAAAGGGGAATGGGGTCAGCCACATCACAAACATACACTGAGCACCTGGTATGTATGTCTAAGGCACTGTTCTAGGTGCTGGGTTCCTATAGTGAAAAGCAGAGTCCCTATTCCATGGGGCATGTGAGACAGAAAACAAACATGTGAACAAATAAATAAGAAAATTCTGGATATTGCTAAGTGTTATAAAGACTGTCTGATGGGTTGGTGGGGCTGGAAAGCATTACTACTTGGGCCCCAATCTTCCACCCTTTCTGCTAAATGAACTTTCTAAGAATGCCTCTTCCTAGTCATTTTAGCCTTCTACATTCTTTTTTAAAAAAGACTATTTTTAGAAGTAGTTTTAGGTTCACAGCAAAACTGAGCAGAATGTACAGAGATTTCTCATATACAACCTGCTCCCACGTGCACAGCCTCCCCCATTAGCAACTTTCCCTCCACAGTGGTGCATTCGTTACAAGTGATGACACATCATAGTCACCCAAATTCCATAGTTTTCATAGGGTTCATGCTTTGTATTGTACAGTCTATGGGTTTGGACCAATATAGTATCATACAGATTAATTTCACTGCCCTAAAAAGCCTTTGTACTCTGCCTACGCATCCCTCTAACCTCTGGCAACCACCGATCTTTCCATTGTCTCTATAGTTTTGCCTTTTCTAGTATGCCACATAGTATGAAACATACAGTATTTAGCCTTTCCAGATTGGTTTCTTTCACTTAGAAATATACATTTAAGTTTCCTTGATGTCTTTACATGGCTTGATAGATCATTTCTTTTTAGCACTGAATAATATTTCATTGCCTAGATGTACCACATTTTTTCCATTAATGTACTGAAGGACATCTTGGTTGCTTTCAATTTTTTGGCAATTATGAATAAAGCTGCTGTAAATATCTGTGTGCAGGTTTTTGTGTGGACATACGCTTTCAACTCCTTTGGACAAATACCAAGGAGTATGATTGCCAAATCATAAAGTAAGAGTATGTTTAGTTTTGTAAGAAACCACTAAAGTGCCTTCCAAAGAAGCTGCACCATTTCACATTCCCATCAGCAGTATACCAGAGCTTCTGTTGCTCCATATCCTCTCCAGCATTTGGTGTAGTCAATGTTCCAGATTTTGCCATTCTAATAGGTGTGAAGTAGTAGCTCATTGTTTTAATTTGCATTTCCCTGATGACATATGATGTAGAGTATCCTTTCATTTGCTAATTTGCCATCTGTTTATCTTCTTTTGTGAGGCATCTGTTAAGGTCTTGGGCCTACTTTTTAATCAGGTTGTTTTCTTATTGTTGAGTTTTAAGCGTTCTTTGTATAATTTGGTTAACAGTCCTTTGTCAGATCTCCCAGTCTGTGGCTTGGCTTCTCATTCTCTTGACATTGTCACAGAGCAGAAGTTTTTAATTTTAATTAAGTCCAGCTTATCAATTATTGTTTTCATGGATTATGTCTTCGTGTTGTATCTAAAAAGGCATACCACATTCAGGATCATCTAGGTTTTTTTCCTCTTATCTTTTAGGAATACAATAGTTTTGCTTTTTTATATTTATGTCTATAATCCATTTGAAGTTCATTTTTATGAAAGGTATAAGGTCTGTGTCTAGATTCATTTTTTTCACATGTGGATGTCCAGTTGTTCCAGTGCCATTTAAAAAAAGTTATGTGTAATTGACTTGTAAATTCATTTTATTTATTTACATTTTTCAACTGTGCCTCTGAATGTAATTTCTCCTTCGAAGTTCTTGCTAATGTGCCAACATAGTAAGTCTACCCTTCAAGCTTTAGCCAACATTTAGGTTTTCTTGCTCTAATTAAAATAAAAAATGTGATATTTAATACGCCTTGCAGAGAAGTAGGAGACCCACTGGAAGTCTTAAAATAATTGGTAATAATCTAGTTAGCTAGATATTAAAATTTTTCTTTGCGTTTATAATTTAGTGTTTTTCCCCTTAACTTTATTTCATTATGTCTCATTATATCTGTTATACAATGCTACTTAATTTCTCAGCCTTTCTTTGTTTCAAACCAATACATGTCTAACTACTATACAATTATTATTCATTCCTCCAACTGATATTAAACTGCTCCTGCTTCTCCAGGACTCCCACTTCAGAACCAGCAAGGGCATCTGTAGGCTAAGCTTTGGTGTCTTATGTGCAAGAAACAGTCTTTTAGGGCTTCCTTAGTGGGAAGTGGGGTCTGTTCCCCACTAATGTACACACAGTGAGCATGTCCCTAAACATCGAAAGGGGTTAAAATGTTTGGTCCCCAGTTTCCACCTGCCAAAGCATGGCTGTCCCCTATAGTTAGGCAAGCGCTGAAGGGATATAAAACTTACTACCTTTAAGACAGGAGAGTGAAGAAAAGATGCATGATCTGTAGTCTTTTCACATCTAGTATCTAATTCTATGGAAGTAGAAAATGTGCCATGGAGAGTATGTACCTAACTGTTTTAAGGGGAAGATCTGGAAGTGGTATACCTAACTTCTGGTCATGGGCTCATGGGAGAAACTTAGTCATGTGGTCACTTAGCTGCAAGGGCAACTAGGAAATGTAGTCTTTGCCTGGGCAGCCATTTACTCAACTAAATCCTGTTATTGTGAAAAGAAGGGGAGAATGGATAAAGGGACAACAAGCAGTCAGGCTCAGGTATTAAGAACCATTCATGAGCAGATCTAAAACCCAAAAGTCCGGGTATCAGGAAGCCAAAGTGATAGCTGAAAATCAGATGAGTCCCCTGAACACCTGCTGCTGTCTCTGCCACATTGCCTAGTGTCCTCTGAAGGACATTGTGTGGCCTCTGACACTATGGCTACTGGAAGATTATTATCGGGAGTCCACAAGGGCCAACGAACATATTTCTCACCAAGATAGTTTGAATATTTAAATTCTTTGCCATCTTTTAGGCTTTCTGGCACATTTGATGAATTTTAGCTCATCTTTCTCTGCCTATAGTGACCTTATTCTTAGGAAAACAAAGGATGTGAATGCTGACACGTGGTTTGACAATAGAACAGAACACCTAAAACTCTGGACAGTCTTGGAAAAACTAGTACATATGGTTGGTCACCTGCCCATGCTCATATATTATGTCCTACTCTTTTAATGATCCATTGAAGGGGACTTTGGGAATCATCTTCTTTCCCAATAGAGTCATTATCAACATAGTTTCAAACTCCTTCGCAAGCTACTCTTCTGCAAAAACACATAACATGAAAGCCTAAAAGAAACAATAGTTGCCTAAAATAGATAGTTTCTCAATGAAAATTTTTACAAGTCAATATAGAATGCATTTTTTCTAATACAAAAAAAGAGAGGGAAATGTTATAAGCCACAATATGGCTGCAAAAATAGATGCAAAAATACCAAATATTTTAATAAATAATGCATTATAACTAAGTAAGTTCAATTTTAGGGATGCAAAAGTAGTTCGACATCAAGAATGTTAATAATATAATTCAATATGTCAATAGATTAAAGGAAGAAAATCATTAGAGTATCTCAGTAAATATTGAAAAACTTTTGATTAAATTTAATACCTATTGCTATTAAAAACTCCTAGTTGATGCAATAGATGAAAACTTAGCTACTGGAACACACAACAGATATGATAGTTAATGGTGTAATGTAGTATTTCTACAGACAGGGAAAAGACGAAATTATCTTTTACCTCTGCTACTATTCTGGAGTCTACTAAAAGTCTTACTAAATCAATGAAATTGGTATGAGAAAAGTAGTATAAAGAGTGAAAGGAAGGATTAACTGTCATTATTTGTAAACAATATCATCTAGATAGAAAATGCAAGAAAGTAAAATGAGAATTTATTAGAAATTGTTAGACATAAAAAAAGATACAAAATCAAAACATCAGAATTCCATTCATTATTGCTACACACTCAAAAATACTGACTTAGGCATTAATATTATCAGAAATACGTAAGATATGAATAACATTGTAAATGTTTAGTGACATAAAAGAAGACCAATAGAAGTGGAAAGACATTCTAGCTGCTAAATGAGATTTGTAATTGTATAGATTTGAATTTTCCTTCACATTAATCCATAAATTCAATTCTATCTTAAAGTTTTAATTGAAATTTTTGGTAGAGCTTGATAAACATATTTTAAAGTTCACACGTATAGACTATTCCTAGAAGAATAGATAAAAAGTTGATAATATCAGTTGCCTCTTGAGGGAGAATTGAATGATAGGATATGGTTTACCCTCTTGTGTTATTTATGTAGAGTACCACATGTGTTTCTTCACTAGACAACAAGTTAAGTACTATTAAAATATAGGCTTCGTGTGAGGAAAATCTATTTTAAAAAACAAAATATTTGGCCTTTGAGCCACTCTCCTCTTGCTCAGGCTTGCTTCCAAGTCTGGAAGTGTATTATCGCTTCTAATAAAGCTGTTCTTTTCCACTGGGTAGGGGAGATGTTTTTGAAAAAAAAAAGGTATAATGATATCAAGTTGAAAATATACAATTAATAAAGCCATGGTATTGAGGCGGAAATAGGTGAACACAGAATAGAGTTAAAAACAGTCATGTGGGAAGAACCAAAATGGCGTAGATGATAGAGGCTCTGTTCATCCCTCTGGCGACCAAATCAAAGTTGTGATGAAAACAAGGAGCGGCAGCAAGGAAAAATTGCCTGGGATCTTGATAAATAAGCCATACAACTAGAGAGAAATCCAAGAAAGCACCCTGCAACTGCAGAAGGTAGGAAGAGGTGAAGACGCAGGGCTGCCCGGTCCTGAGTGGCTGAGTGAGATGGAGGCAGTGGCAGTGGCAGACGCCTCTTAAAGGGGCGGTGTCCATGAGCGGATTTTCAAGGTGATGGACCTGCTTGCTCTGAGCACCAGCGTCAATTGGGCTGCGCACAGGGGGCACCAGGGACTTACAGGGAGACATTGTCGGAGTGAGGGCTGAGGGGAGACTCGCTCTGTACAGAAGTGCCAGCAGTATCCATGTTGAGCACCCTCCCCCCGCTCCCCCAGTGTGTAGACACAGCATTGCCACAGCCAAGATGTCATCAGACTGTATAACAGAGGTTGCTCCAACCAGAGGATTCCCTGAAACCCCATCTCCCCCAACTTGCGACCCCACCCAAGCCACATCCAAGTTTATCCTCGGCAAGTCAGGTGCTCCTTGCTGAGCAGCGCCTAGTCTCACACTGGAAGCAGCTGTCCTCGGTTTCTGGTGTGGCCTTTTGAGGCAGCTATAAGCACAGCACCTGTGGATTGCTTGCTGAATCTTAACAGGTGGCCCTGGAGGGGCAAAGGCTTGAGCTAAATTTGGCCTATAGCTGAGCCCCTCTTAGGACTGTGCCACTGGACACTTACTTCACAAATCCACACCAATAAGACTGGGAGACTTAGGAGCTTTGCTTAGTACATAGAAACAGACATGGAAAGGCAGCCAAAATGGGAAAACAAAGAAGCAGAAACAATATGAGAGAACAGAACAGAGATCCAGATGTAATGGAGTCAAGTAATCTAACAGATACAGAGT